ATGAAAATAAAACAGTGGTTTGACTATAACTAATCTCATATTTAGGCCACGTAACTCCATCCACTGAAGACCAGGAGATGCAACTGAAAATAAAAGCTAGGAAGTGGAAGATTTTTTTTTGGTCAGGCAGCTGCATACACTCTTATCACATATACAGTTCTTGGCTGATGAAGCAAAAGCAAGACAGCAAGCAAGCAGACAAACAGCAGCTGGTCCAAGTTTCATTTTTAATAATTTCTTTACAGCAGGAAGAAAAAACAACTTTACATATAGATTTATATAAACTCAAAAATGATTCTTAATAATACAAGACTATTATATAAATATAAAACACAACAGTATTTCTGCTCTGCTAACATGTTTAAGAATATAATTCGGTCTAAGCCAGTGAATTAGTTACTGTGTGTCACTTATCCAGTTCATTTATAAAATATATATTTGAATTGAAACAGTATAAATTTCATCTGAACAGCAGGTGAATAAAAAAACTTCAGTCAGGGGAGGGGAGGTTTTTAAAGTGGACACTCTGACCTCGAGACAGCAGAGAGATGGACAAAATGAACCAGTGATCTATACACTTTGTTAAATAAGTAAATTGAGTTATAAAACTATATTTCAACAGAATGAATTTTTAAATTTGGGGTTTTTAAAAATGGCAACATGAGTATTTTAGTTTAAAACATTCAAAAAAAAACAAAAGGAGTAACACATCTTTGTGTTGCAGAGATATCTACTGATGTTAGCATGCCAACCAGCTAGCCCGGGCCTGTCCTGTCTTGTAATACCACAATGTACTTCCAGAGGCCACAGTGAGTCACTGTGGCGTCCAGTCCAACATCAGAGGGTGAAGTAGTAACTAGCAGAGAATAAACCTGTGTGGCAGCCATTTACTCTTTACCGGGCCAGTAAAAACTCCTTGTTTTTTACAAGAGGAGTAGATGCCCCAACTTCCTGATAATGTGCTACCCCCTATTTGTCTGGAGTATGAATTTGACAGCTGACCAATTCCTACATATTGTCCCTTTAAAGCTGGAGAGAATCAGTCCAACTCGAGCTTTAGGAGTAAAGTTAGATCAGTGTATAGTTGATTTCTGATATTATGATGTTCCTCTCTGGCCAAAGCAACAGCAACAAAGCCTAAAAATATTGTTTAGACCATATTCTTTTAATTTTCACCTGACATTTTTATTGATAATAATTTATATTTTATTAATTTATTATTTAAAGATATTTCATTTATGCTGGTCACCCCACTTCACTCATTCATTATTTTTAATTTCAGTACAAAGTTTTGGTTTACCATTACGGGGACAACTGTTTACAAACTATTTTTAGGGTTTTAGGATCTTGAATCCAAATAATCCGTCTCTCATTTGGGCCAAGGGTGTCAGGAACCTGTTGTTTTCATCTTAATTATAATTTATGTATTTTTGAAGCTTAAGAATATATTCATGCATTAAATGTGATGAAAATTACAAATTTCTGCAAGTGGGTTCAGGTATGTCCAGAGGGCTCCATAGCGCCCCCAAAGGGTCATGTTGGGATAGAGTTGCTTGGGAATTCGGAGGAATAATTGCTCTTTTTTTTTTTTCACTGGGCAGGAAGTCAGCCATTTTAGATTTTTACAAACACATTTTTGATGTCTTCTAAATCTCAAATTTTACACCAAACTTGTAGCTGTTTCAATTTGATATCACAGAGACTGACAAAAAGGTCTCTTGGAGCCACACTCTTAAGAAATCAGCCATTTTGTGATTTTATTTTGAAATTTTTGTGTATTCTTTGCCATTTACAGGGGTCTTACTTTTATGAACTCTTCCTAGAGGATTAACCAGATTGACTTCAATTTGGCTCAGTACAATCTAGGGACCTTTGCGATGCTAAACAGTGAAAACTTTTCTTAGGACAGCACGTGTGTGGCATTTACTTTACATGTTTTGCATGAAACAGAAAGTTGTTGTTATTCTAGTGTACATGGTCAAATCTGCTCCAAAGGCCTGGAGACATCCAAAGGGCATTAATCAGTTATAGTCATAGCGCCACCTACTGGGAACACATAATTACATGTTTTATAGTTTTATCCTCAGAAAAGCCTCAACACCTTGATTATGCTTTGTTGTAAAGATTGATTTTCATCAAACGCTGTTGCCATGACGGGGCTACAAATTTCTTTATTTCGACGTTGTCCAATCTGCCCCAACCTTAACTGCCCCAATCCACCTCAAATGTAGTAAGAAAAATCTTAGTTTTACATTGATGAGGCGACACAGGAAGTGACATTTAACTAATTATTTTTCAAATTCAGTGAGAGAGTCATGTCATATAACCTGTTGGCTGCTGCCCCCCCCATGGGCTCACAGTGTGAGGGCTCGCAGCTTTAATTGATATTATATTTTAAACTCACATCAGTCCGATAAGCGTTGTAATCAGATCCCACTCTGTGTTTAGTTGCAGACATTGACCTTCTATGAGCAATAAGCCGAACACAGCATGTGGTAGAAACAGCAGAGGCCTTCAATCAATTATTTACCATTCCAAAGAAAGGAGAAAACTTTTTAATGATCAATGTTCTTTTATCTCTGAACGATTGAACATTGATTACTTCTAATTTACCTGTGTGTGTTATTTAAAGCACACACATTGATTTCACAAAGCTTTAAAACTATTGGCTTACAGGCTTTAACCAAATTAGCAAAGCCTTTGCTGATTCACCAGAGACAAAAGAGAAACAAAAACAGAGGAAAATAAATAAAAAAGCAATAATTTAATAACCTGTTTACATTTATACAAACATGAGGTCAGCCGGTCAAACTGACCAGTGAGAACAAAAATAGACACACACACACAACCTCCTGGAGGGGTTTGTACCGTCAGTTTTGACACATGAAGCCTGGAGGGGGTTTGATGCAGCAACACTGCCACCTGCTGCTCACAGTTAACACAGCACACACAGAAACAACAGCAGTCTCTGCAAGTGGTCAGTTTTCATTAATTAAAAGGCACTGTATCACATCACTAAATGTCCAGGTTCCCTAGAAACTAACCTACATCTCTGCATCTCTCTCAAAGCAAAAAAAAAAAAAAAAAAAAAAAAAAAAAAAAAATCACATTCACAATTCACTCAGGTTCAACAGTTTCTCCCTCAGGACAAACAAACCGACTAGAGTTTAAGCTGTAACAGAGAGAGAGAGTGGGAACTGCTGCTGCTCTGGAGGCAGAATTCATCTCAGTGGTGAAGTTACAACTTGGTGAGTGGAGCTAAAGAACAACAGACTTCCTGTTTGACTCATCCATCCAGCCATGTAGACAGTCTACAGCATTTGGTAATTCTAACTAACAACAGGAGCATTTTGTTAAGCTACTTAACTAGTCTGCTGACCTCCTGATTTATCACTTATCTATACTACACACTGGTCTGAGTGTTCGTATAACAAACTGCTGTTACACCATGTACACACAACACGCGCATCTCTCTTTTTTGATCTGCATGTTGGTATTTAGCTACAAGTATTTGTAATGCAGGTCACAGTTTGACTGTCTCATCAGCCTTGTCTCAAACAGCAGCAGCAGATGTTTGGATGCTGATAATGCTGCTCTGTGTCATATAGGTGTCATCAATATGTCAGAGGTTGTTTTTAGAAAACAAAAAACATCAGCTAATGTGGCTTTAATGTTAACTACACAGTCAGATGTGCTTGATGGTTGTATCATGTATCCTACATTTTGATTGGACGCTGGTTGAAATAAGATGAGCAGCAGACTCTGAACAAACGACAACAACAAAGTTAAGCTTGTTGCTGCTCTGTGAGTCCTGATCTTAACAGAATCCACTTCGAGCATCTCCATGTTTTGTGGTTGGGCCGAGAATGATTTCTTGCTTTTACTTTGCTGCTCATCTACAGGTGCATGTTGGGAAAAAGCAGGTGTATGATGAAACTAAGGTATCGTATCTTAACTGGGCTTTTTACACTCCACCCGTTCATATATCTCCACCAGTGGGATTGTTTTGACTTTCTGTGTCACAGAGTGAAGGCTAAGCTAGGCTAAGGCATCTCACTGTTCACCTGCTCTCATACAGTATGTGTCACTTCATCAGCGTAGTGCTTCTGTTCCTCTGAACCTCTAATGAAGAGCTGTGTGTAGATCATCTGTCAAAGGTGCTCAGCTGCTCTGTGAAGCTCTAACATCCAACCAGAGCAGCTGTGGGTGTCAACACACACTCTCAGGTCACACTCACACACACACACACACACACACACACACACACACACACACACACACACACACACACACACACACACAGTGCAAAGCATTGTGTTAGATGACAACTGTGAGAGCAGCTGCCCCACACATGTTTCTGTGTGTTCAGTGTGTGTGCAGAGCAGTTCCTCTATGTAAGTACTTAGTGTTGTGTGTGTCTCCTCTAGGCAAGCAGGTAGCAGTACAGGACGTAGAGCAGGGTCATGGCTGCACAGTAGAATAGCAGGAAATCTGTGGACAGCACCGAGGATGAGGACGATGAAGACGAAGGTGAGGAGTGGCGAGGGGAGAGGTGGTCCTTCTCCGCCATCCCGCCCCCCTCCACAGCCAGCAGGGCCGTCACACAGCGCAGCACAGCGGGCAGCTTACACAGAAGCACATCAGAGCACACACAGACGTCCATCTGGACAGGATACACACACACACACGCGTGCGCACACACACACACACACACAGTGAGGAGGAAACACATAGTAGTTAAAACGAGGAGACGAGAGACGACAGAACAGAGAGTAGAGTTACACAAAGCAGAGTGAGGGTTGGACTGAAAACCTGAACGGGGATCAGTCCGACCCTGACAGGAACAACAGAGCAAAACAACTGAGCTGAAAGCACAAGGACAATTCTTCTCAACTAAACACCGTTTTAAACATATTTAGATGCTTTAAGAAAGAAAAATGAAACATAACCAAACTAATGAAAGTGTCAAAGGAGAGAACAGTAAGAGGAGATGGATTTACCTCAGTGACTCCCAGCTTGCGACAAGCAGCTATGAAGTTCTCCACGTTGAGTCGACACTTTGCTGAGCTCAGTTTTGGCTGAAACGTACCAGACAACCACATTTAGGTAACATCATGTCTGTGCTGTCATGAAGTAACTACTTTCTTCATTAGTTGGTATCAGGACACTGGAAATTCTCAAACCTCATCAGTACCTCTCTGAGTGACACAGAGAAACTGATGCATGTTTTATATCCAGCAGACCTTGACTACTGTAATGCTCTCCTTTCTGTTCTATCCAAATCATTATAAACCAGCTTCAGCTGATTCAGAACCTGTCCAGACCAGGACCAGAAGGAGAGAAAGTCCAAACACTGTTTACCTGTCAGCTTCTGTATTGACTTTAAAATTCTTTTATTTGTTTTTAAAGCTTTTCATGGTCTTGCAGCAGCAGATATGTCCCACGTTTACACTACATGAACCAGTATGGCTCCTCAGGTCTGAGCAGTCTGTTAGCTGGACTCAAACCTGTGGTGAAGCAGCTTTTAGCTTTTATACTCCAAGCTGATGGAACAATCTGACCTGAGAGCAGTGTAAACTCAAGACGTTCCTCATCAGCCTAGCTTTTAATTACACATGGATTTTAGTCATTAGTCATTTTATTTTATTCACTTATTTTATTGTAATTATGTTGTAAATTGTATTTCATTCTATTTTATCCCTTACTTTATCATTATTTTCTTCTATATCTAGAGCTGCACAATTAATCGAAATATAATCAAAATCTCAATATGGCCAAGTGCAATATCGAAATCACAGGAGCTGTAATTTTTTTGACAATGGTAAACTGTGTCACAACATTATTGTGCACTGTTCGCACCATAAGTTTTGTGAAGCTACAGAGACGCCCAGGCCTACAAATCATATTCTCCAGACATAAAGGAACATGTTTGTTTGGTACAAGACCAACAAAAATCACATCATCATCACTTAAAAAATTATTTTTTGTGAAAATGACATGAAAAAACGATCATTATAACTAAAATCACAATATCTGCCAAAATCACAGTATTTTTTATACTGTATGTGTATATATATATATATATATATATTTATTTTGCAGCCCTAGGTTTATTGTACTCATTGTCGCTTTCTTGATTTGTCCTTTTTTTGTTTTTAATAGTCGTCTGTGAACTTTGAACTGCACTCACCTGTATGAAAAGTGCTATACCAATAAAGTCCAAATCCAAAACTCAGCTGTTTAAATAACTTCATCAGACTCACCACTGCTGGGGAGGGAATGTGGATGATTGACACGGAGCGAGGACGGATGTGATTGACCAGCTGACAGAGGACGGTGCCGTTCGATAAGGCCTCACCCAGATCCTCCGGGAGAGTGATCTTCAGCCAGGACTCCAGAGTCTGAAGAGGGACATTATAAAGCTTCTTACACAGAATTTACACAAACTACTAAAACCCAGGATTATCAAAGTGATGATGTGGAAACATCATATAAAGTGAAACCATCTGACATCTGCAGTAAACTGTGAGGAGAAGTTGATGGAAAATATACTTCCTGCCTCATACTGTGTCAGATCCACAAGACCTCTGAAGGGGCCCTGACATTAGCACCAGATCCTTTAAGTCCTTTGAGTAGCGAGGCGCGGTCTACATGGGTGAGACTTGTTTTTCCAGCACGTCCCACAGATTCTGGATCAGATTGAGATTTTGGTTTGGAGGCCAAGTCAACACCTTGACTTTTGTCGTGTTCCTCAAACCATTCCTGAAGTATTTCTGCTGAAGTGGTGGTACGTGTCAAAGGAGATTCAGTCACTAATGCTGCCTTCAGACTGACTTCTAGATCTGCTCCATCTACTTGAACTCAATCATTCAGCCTTCGTCCTCCAATGAATGTGGGCTGTCATCACCATCCCTGCACACAAGACAGTCTCTGTCTGACTGTTCTGGTGTGTGGTTCTATCTTCAAGAATCTGTTGAAGACTCATCTCTTCAGAGAGCACCTCCTCTCCTAACACCTCCAACACCCTAACATGTCTAACTAGCTCATACTATGAACTATGAACCTGATCTCCTTCACTTGTTAAATAGATGTAGTTCTTAGACCTTACACCAAGATCTCCTACTGCTCTGAAGCTTCAGTCACCCAAGGTTTCAACTACATCTTTATCCAGAACACAGTACGGGTTGGGTATAAGCTGTGTGTGTGTGTGTGTGTGTGTGTGTGTGTGTGTGTGTGTGTGTGTGTGTGTGTGTGTGTGTGTGTGTTTGTGTGTGTGTGTGTGTGTGTGTGTGTGTTTGTGTGTGTGTGTGAGCGACTTAAGACTTGACTCTGGAGATTTGTGACTCGTGAACAATCTTTATTTTTATTTTTTGGCGCATTAACATAGAGGAAATGTCTGGCGTGCTGAGTTCAGATGTCATTTCCTCACAGGAGAGATGGATAGAGCTGTGTGTGGTGATCAGCCCAGTGGAGCAGACTGCGTGGCACACTGTGGTTCTGTGTTGCCGTCATCTCCCTCACGTCACGTTTGTTCCGGTCTCGCGGCTCCATCACTACCATTTATGTGTTTGTATCTTTATCATGGTTTCAACACTGAGGCTACAGTGGACCGCTGCTGACTCACTTTATATGAATAACAACAACAAACTGTATGAAGAGCTCGGAGAGAAGAATTTAAAATCCAGAAAAATATACATGCTTCAGATAGTTGTTCATCCATCAGCAGAAACTCTGCAGACAACAGACAATAGGAGCAGAGCAGCAGAGTGGGTTCAAGACCACAGCTCCCAGTACAGCTCCCAGGGAGTCCAGTTTAATAGAAAAAGCAGTAGGCAGAGAACAGGAAGATTTATTTAGAGGTTAAATAGCTTTATTTTCTGCCCTTGCTTCATCAGAAATTCTAATAAGGTCTACAGAATTTAATTACAAAAAGATCCAGTGAAAGAGAAAAAACTACTAAAATCAAGAGATGACTGGTGTTGTATTTACTGCTGTACTGTCCAGTCTGAAATTCTAATCTCATATTCTCCATAGCTACTAATTTATACAGAGGAAAGTGACATAAAGAACCAGTTTTATGTTCTGGTTGTTCTTTTTGATGTGTTGTTTTCCTCTGTTTGCTACAAGATTCTTGCAAAGTGTGATAGAGGCCGCATGTTACAGTGTCTCCAGACAGGTTCTGGTGGGTCAGTCCAAGTCAAAATTCCGGGCTGATGTTTATTCCCATCCCATCCCTGTTCCCTCCCTTAGTATCATGTATAACTTTGTAGATAAGGGAGTGATGATAATGCAGGACATGCACTGAATTCATTACATGCCGCAGTGTTCTCATCAGACTGTATGACAGCAGCAGGGGACTCTCTGCCGTGTGTGTGTGTGTGTGTGTGTGTGTGTGTGTGTGTATGCGTGCGTGTGTGTATGCGTGCGTGTGTGTGTGTGTGTGTGTGTGTGTGTGTGCGCGTGCACATGTGTTACCTTGCGTAGTTGTGTAATATCCGGGCTCTCCTCTTTAGGAGAACGCAGCGTTGTGCGAGACTCGCTTCTGCCAGACTCACCCAGAGTGAAGACTGGTCCTGACAAACAGACACACAGAGCTAAGATTTGGCTGACGCAGTGTGTATGTGTGTGTGTGTGTGTGTGTATTGTGATATTTGTACCTGTGGGTTTGACATTGCTGCGGGAGGAGGCACGGAACAGGAAGCTGTTGGGTTTCTGGGCCTGACCAGAGGGAGGGGACATCTTCGGGGAGGACGGGACATCTGAAGGACACATTCAGGTCAATATTACAGAAGTGTCAGACTCGCATCAGAACATCTTCATACCATGACACAATTTATAACACAACAAGACAGTAAGATGTCATTCAAGACAGAACACAGAACTTAAGCAGTTTAGGCTCTAACACCAAAAATAATAAGACTTTTCTACTAATACACTTACTGCAACAGTTTCTCCCGGAGCTCTCAGTTTTCTCAAATCTCCAGAAAAGCAGGTAAGTGGACCTTGTAAGTGTTTTATTCCATGGTTAAGAACAAACTCTGACACTGGGCAGAAGCACTGAGGTTTAATAACCAGCACTAGTACTTAGTTAGTGTGTGAACAGCCACTACATTTATCATTATTCACATCTTTGGAAAAAGAAGAGTCCCTTTAATCTTCATATAAATTCAGAAATAGAAGCTGTAGAAAAAGAAATGTTGAAGCTATACTTATTTTAGTCCTGGATTTTGATGTAATAATATATACAGTTGATATGATGCTGTGTATCACTCTGCTCTTAGATTTACTCCTGGGGACACCTACAGTACCATCACTGGTCCTCTCTCTCTGTGAGACAAGATCAACACTGATTTATATTTATTTACAAACCACTGTTAATAAACAAATATTCTTTTAAATCTGAACGTCATTAAGTGTCATTGTTTTATTAGGAATTGTTTTTTGTATTTCTTCTGTTTATTTTTCTGCTTGTGTGGTCTCAGCATCACCAGAAATGAGGGTTGATTAATTGCACTAAGATTATATTTCATACACTTAATTTTATATCAGTCACTTAGTCAGTTATTTATGTTTACAGTTATTTATTTACACTAGTAATATAATGCTCCCATGTTATTCTCAATACACCATAACAGGTTATTGTATAGCAGTTGATACACTTTTAGCCTCTGTGCTTTTATTTCGTTTTTATTTCAGACTGTTTCTTGTCTGTCTCTGCCCAAAGGATTGTTTAGTCTTCTCAAATGTTATCTCCTTGGTGGTTTTAAATGTGCTTCATAAAAAATTTAATTTGATTTGGTTTAGCACTGATGTTGTTTTTCATGTCGTTAATTTTGTTTGCTTAACAATTTTTTAATTTTTTTATGTCTAGTGTTTAAGTCCACAAAGGTGTTTCATTGTTTTATTTTCTCATATCAAGTACGGTCACTGTACAGCCAATGATAGGAACTTTTATGTTGTCGCTGCTGGGCCACATCGTACACTTGTTTACTATATCAGTGCATGTGTGTGTGTGTGTGTGTGTGTGTACCTGTTCTGCTGCAGGAGCGTTGTAGCAGAACTGAAGGAGACACTGTGCTCATCTGGTCAGCGCTCTGATGAAAACAAACAGCTCAGAGTCACAACAATGACGACACACACACAGAATCCAGATGTTTACCACTATTCACTGACACTACTCACTGCACATCTCTGCCGCAGGCCTGAGTGGGAGCTGCTGTTCTCTGGAGATGCACCACTGGGGGGAGACACACACTAAGTTTATTGACCCGAGTACAGTGTCCACACCCTCCAGTTTCACTTCATGTGAACTGAGCAAAGACTGAAGGAAACGTGAGGATGAATGAAGTGAGACAGTCACTCAGTGTCAGATCTGTCTCTCTGCTGCTGCTCTGCTCTGTGTTTCATCTGCTCTACTTACGCTGAGCTACTTCCTATCTGTGGTGCCGTGGCCACATGACTTCCTGTTTTGGTCGATGACTTTAGAAAACTGCAAAGACATGGAGAGCGTGTAATTAGTTCTGAGAGAGGAGGGAGTCACCTCTGACAGAGAGCTGCTCCTCCACAAACATGGAAACTTCAAAAAGCTCTAATTCAAATCAAAGTCAAGCCCATGCTGCTCATGTCATGTGATGTCTGTGTCCAAACCACTCAGAAGCCTTTTTAAAGACGGCATCAACTGAAGCTTTTGATTTATGAAACATCATGAATGAAAGTTCACCTGGCCTTCTCCCTCTGCTGCTGCAGCCGCTCTCTCTCCTGCCAGATTAACAAGGTGCCCGGCCTCCTCCGCTCCTCTAGGGTGGGGCTGGAGGGGGACAGGGGAGACGAGGAAGCCGACAACGGGGGGCCAACGTCCACATGGAGGCTGGACCTGCAGAAGGGAGAGAGGTTTTTAAAACTACAAATAGAGCGGGGTCCAAACGACTCAAACATCTGTGGAGTCCTGTCCTGGGCCATTTATACACATAACCTACATTATGTGAGTCTATCCAAATATAATCACCAATGTGGTGAAATCTGTATATGGGTCCAAGCACAACCACTAACAATGAGAGAAGATATAAGTTTAGAATAGACCATATAAAAGTGAATCTGATCAGATTTTATTCAGAAGCTTGCTTTGTATAAAAAAAAGTCTTCTATAGCCTCTGCTTTGTGTTTTTATGAACTGTGTGTTGACTTTCCTTTTTGAGTGTACATATTCTATTTTTAATCTCCCAAAGGAAGTGTTGGAGGCTGAGATCTGAAACATCTGTTTGTTCCAGCTACAGACTGATTGAAGTGCTGTGTTTGTAGAGCAGACACAGCTTCACTAAATGTTCCTCAGTGAGAGGGAACAGTAATCTAAATTACGTACAGTATGTGAGGCTTAATGAAGGTTTGAATGAATGTCAGTACAGTTAATAAAACTCAGAGATTCTGAACAAAGCTGTTTGTTACTCCACAGGCTGAGAACAATGGAGCTGCGTCACATATTAATATGCAGCCAACAGAACTACTGGGATTCCCAGTCCAAAGAATGTGGTTGTGCAGCAGGATAAAAGCTGAACACTGCAGGCTGAAGGAAAATGGAATTTCAGAGGGAATTAAGATGGACGACATCTTTGTACATAGGTTTATAGTCCACTGTTATCACTGTATGTATGATCAGTATTGACCATAAATTATGTTGGAAGCCACAAGCCAAAATTGTCTAAATATGTATATACTATCCTGCTCTCTCATATTACCACAGATGACTTAATGTGTGGAGATGTGGGAAAACACAAACTCAATTTTCATGCTACAGAAGAAAGAATCATCAATGAATCAGATTATTATGAACCAACTAATCCACTATTTATTCATTCATGTGTTTTAAAATTTCATGATCTGGTCAACTTTAAAACTGCACAGATAATTTAGACAGCACAAAATAAATTGTAAAAAAAACTGTGTACAGAGGTTATACAGAGTTTGTGTGGATGAGTTGTGATGATGAATGAAGAATGTGTAGTTCAAAAATTGGAAAAAAATTTTTTTAAATATGGTGATAAATAAATATAAAACTGAGATATGAACATTATCAAAGCATAAATGTGGCAGTGAAAGTCTTTTTATTGACTTTTTTCTCTCTTTTGGTCTCTGTATATGAGACACATCGGAACTCCTAATAGTCAGTTGGTACTGAATCCTGCTGCTTGTCTTATTACTGGAACTAACAGGTACAGTCACATGACTCTGGTGCTAGTTTCCCTTCATTCCCCTTCATTCCCTGTTAGATTTCGGATTGCCTTTAAAATTTCATTATTGACTTTTAAGGCTTTAAATGGCTCTGCTCCGAATTACATCTCTAGTTTATTGACATGGTAAGTTCCCAACCGAGAACTGAGATGGAGGCCTGCTGGTCCCCCCAAAGTCAAGGTTTGTGACTAAGTATGAGCCCCAACACTCTGGAATCAGACACTGTAACTCTTTAACCTTTAAATCTCTTGTCTAAACACATTTCTTTGTCTAAGCCTTTGGCAATATCTGATATGTGTTTTATTTTTTATTGCTCTTTGTTCCTATTTTCTGATTCATGTAACATTATGTAGAGAGTGTAGTTGTAATAAGCTGTAGCTTCACCTTTTCAGCCAGTATTGGTATGTTTTATTTCTATGTGTATTGACTATGTATAAATATTAATATGGATTGGGATAAATTGAACAGAACTATTATAAGTAAAGCATGGGTGTCAGTGTGAACTTTCAACAAGAAAAGCATGCATATGCATACAACATGCAGAGCTTGAGGGGGAGTGAGAAAGTGACACTGTAAGTAATGGCAACAGCAGAGTATTGACTTTTCCCAGCTCTTCAAACAACCTGTGAAGTGACCTTGTAAAAACCTGGTCTGATTGAGTCCACAGTCTCCATCCAGGGAAACAACACACTTCTGAATTAAAATGGAGGACCGGCCAAGCAGAATCACAGCTGATATGTAAATGTCTTCAGAGTTACTGGAACAAGTGTAAACAAATAAGACTTCAGCAGAGGTTAGTCCTCAGTGTTATGTGAAGAGTTTCCTTTGCTTCTCGTCCTCCCTGCAGCAGATTCACATGTTGGCTGTGATACTTGTCAATAACCATGTACTCTTCCCACCACTTGCTGAAACCAGAAACTCCCACATCCTCACCCATTTGCTCTGGAGAATCAGCCTCATCTGCCATTTGTGTGATGAGCACAATATTCATGTTTTGCTCTTTAAGCTAATATTATTGTTTTGTGCTTTAGGCTAATAATTTGGCTTTTCCTGGGTGAGGAGGCAGCCTGTCCTCTGTGTACAATCCCAGCAACACTGAAGCACATTTCTGTTGGATGTAATCGACTACAATTACAACACACCAGACCTGACCACACACACAGTTGTGATGTAGGTGTGGTCAAAGGACATATACCGGTCAGACCTCCTTCTGAAATCCAGTGTTCAGCAACAGTTTGAAACAATAAACTGACTTTCTTTTGTTGTGATATGAACCTGTTTTAATGTATCATGTTGTAAACTTACTTTAGTTTATTACCAGTGCCATGTCAACTGTAGGTTTTATAAGTACAGTATATTTTACCTGCATATTGTTGAGTCCTGGTTTTGGGATGATGAAGATTTCTCCTTCTGATCCTGAAAATCAAAGATACAATCACTGACTTCCCTGTTGTGAGATAAGGACAAAGTTAATGATCAGCCTGTGGATGACTGGTACCAAAGGAGGTGTGGGTGGATCCATCTTGATCTCCTCTTCCTCTTCCTCTGTCACAATACTGTCGATGAAGTCCAGCTGCTCAGCCTCTCCATTCACTGTGAAGAGAGTGGAGGAGAGTTTGTACTTCTTCAGTAATTCTGAGTGGATAAATGGAAAATAAAAACCTTCCTGAACACTGTTCACAGCAGGTGTGGCCTGTCTTACCTTTGTTCACCTCCAGAGGAGATCCATCTGCCTCCTCCTCCTCCTCCTCCTCCTCCTCCAGGTTCCTCTGGTCTCTGCTGACCTCAGCCATGCGGAGGGAGCGCTCGGAGAAGTCGTCAGCTGACTGGAGGCACAGACAGAGACAGTGGTTAACACTACACACACCACCCTGTTGGAACTGTGGGTGTGGTGGAGGTGTGGTGTACTCAGGTCTCCGATATCTGTGCTGGACCATATCTGTCACCTCTGTACCAGACTTTCACTCAGTGAAGTCAGTGAAGAACACAGACAGTGACCACATTTACAGTTCTGGTCTCACAGTTTTGGATTCCACTGTATTTTTGTATCACTGGAAAATGGACTTTACAGTTCACACCATGCTGTCCTAAGATAACAATAATAATAATAATGATAATAATAAAATATATTTGTTTAGCACCTTATCATGCAAGAAATGCAGCACAAAGTGCTTTACAAGAAATAAATTAGATGAACCAAGTGCTTCACATGAAAAGACATAAAATGAATACAAAAAATGTCAAAAACATTAAATATGGAATAGTAATAAAATAATAACAGAAAAAAATAAAATGAAAATAAGTTAAACTGTATTACAGTGCATTAGTGAAAAGCAAAGTGCAGAATTTCAGAGTTAGCTAAAAGCTGAGGTGAAGAGATAAGTTTTTATCTCAGTGAGCTGCTTCTTCTTCTCTGATATCTACAGGTTGCGTGTTCCACAGCTTTAGGTCGTAACTGACAAAGGCTGCATCCTGATTCTCCTCCAGCTGTAACCAGTGTTCTTGGAGGTCTATAGTTAACAAGGGAGTTAGTGGTGTAGCCTAGTGCAAGGCAGATAAAACTGGACTGATGTTGTCTCTTTCTTTTTGGTTCTGGTTCACAACCAAGCTGCAGAGTTCTAGATGAGCTAAAGTCTCTCAGTAAAAAGTGCATCACAGCAAGCAAGTCTGCCTGAAATGAAGGCATGAATCAGTCTTTCAGCATCTTTTTCATCTATAAAACTTTAATTGTTTCTGTGGAGGAAACATGATGTTGTCATCACCTTGTTGATGAAGGACCTGAACCTCAGATCTGAATTTAAGTGAACACAGAGACTGTAATCTCAGGTTTAATCCAGGGAGTTCATTTCCCAGATTATCAAAGAGCATGTCCCTTTTTGATTTGTGGCCGACTTGTAGGATTTCTTTTGCTTCCTCATTTAACTTTAAGAAGTTACTGCTCATCCATTTATTTACTACTAGAAGACAGGTGGGGATGGAGTTTACAGCTGCAGCATCATTTTGTTCAGCAGAGATATTATATAATGTCCTGCACAACACTGTCAGTGTTGATATGTTGTTGTAGGTTGGGACAGTAGTTACGTTTAGTCTTTTGTCTGAGGAGCAAAATAACGAGAGCCGGGTGGAACCATGGCTTCAAAGTGATGACTCCTATCCTCATGTAAAATCATACTGCACTGACTCTCTGTTGTGTGTGTGTGTGTGTGTGTGTGTGTGTGTGTTTTACCTCATTGCCAGACCACCTCTTGCTGCCGCTGTCCACACTGTTGAAGCCAGAGTCCAGTCCTCCAAACTGACCTGTGAAAAGCTCCTGGTCTGACAGGCTGCAGAGAAACATGTAGATCACAACTTAACCACAGCAGCTTTGTCACACAGGGGGTCATTAGACTGAAGTTCAATGGCTTGTGTTTTTGTTCTTTTATCTCTGTCCTTGGGTCTGTGTGTGTGATGAGACCAGTTCAGCATGTCACTAACAGAGCTTCATTCAGGTTTATAAATATTTGATTGACTCTGCTTTCTCTTAGTTAATCTGACCTTTCACTGTCATCATTTATCAGCCACTCCTCTTCCTCCTCTGTTTATTTATCCTTGCACCTCTCACTCACATTATTCCTCTTCTGGGATAAGAATATGTTTTGGTAAAATACATATAATCATAATTCCATGATCCTATAATATTTAGCTGGAGTAGCTGCCACTGTCAGTAAACAGTACTTATGCACTGATGCCTGAAGTCATAATTTTAATAGAAAAAAAGTCATAAAAATCTTAGGAGAAAAGGTCATTGTCCTTGCACCTGGTTTACTGGTTGTTGTAACATTTATAAAAAATATATATTTTTCTCTCTAAATTTGAATTTTTTTAATTTTCATAAAATTCAGCCTTTTTTCTCATAAGATTATGACTTCATTCTCGTAATTCCGATTACTTTTTTTTCCTCAATGTGGCCCTAATATTGATGGTATTGTCTAAAATAAACCTGAATGTCATAAGATATTCAGATGAGTAAGACCTTCCTTCATCCATGTTTCTAATCTGCCCTTTCCTTCTCTTCCTCCTCCTCACCAGCTGTTGAACCCGGTGGGTCTCAGATGTCTCTCCAGCTCCTCCTGGCTCCTCTTGCAGGCCTCCATGTTGAGGTACTTGAAGATGTGGTATTTGCCTTTGGAGCAGATCTGCGCAGGCGGCATCTGCAGCGGGTTGTTGTCCAGCGAGATGCTCTGGAGGTGCCGAAGGTGGCGGTAGCAGAGGGGCACGTGGGAAATGCGGTTGCAAGACACATCAAGCCGGACCAGAGGGAGCTCGGATATTTCTGCACGGGGCACAGGGAAGGGTTGTTTTAATTGCTGTCATTATTGACACTCATCATCTTTTTAGATGTACACCAATTGTTTGATATTATATTGGAGTGGATGATGCTGTCCTTTACATGCTCCACCGAGCCCATTCTTACTTGGATGAGCCAGGTAGTTACATGAGGATTATGTTCTTTGATTTTTCAAGTGCATTTAACACCATCCAACCCCCCATTCTTAAAGACAAGCTGGAAGGTATGGGGGTGGATGCCTGCTTCACGTCCTGGATTGTGGATTACCTGACAAGATGACCACAGTACATCAGGCTGGGTAACTGTGTCTTAGGGACAGTGGTGAGCAGAACTGGGGCTCCACAGGGGACTGTTCTGGCTCCGTTCCTGTTCACCCTGTATACGGCAGACTTTAAATACAACTCTGAGTTCTGCCACATCCACAAATACTAGGATGATACAGCTATTGTGGTGCGTATCAGGAATGGGCAGGAAGAGGAGTACAGGGATCTGACGATGGCCTTCAGTGAATGGAGCGACAAGAACTGCCTCCTTCTGAATATCTCCAAGACCAAGGAGATAGTCATCGACTTTCGGAGGTCTAGGCCCACCCTTCAGCCAGTCAACATTCGAGGGAAGGATATTGAGGTGGTGCACACTTATAAATACCTAGGTGTGCACCTGGACAGTAAACTGGACTGGTCCCTGAACACGGATGCCATCTACCTGAAGGGGCAGAGCTGGCACTTTTTCATGAAGTGCTTTGACGTCTGCAGTGAAATGCTGCACACGTTTTATCAGTCAGTGGTTGCCAGTGTACTTTTTTATGCTGCAGTCTGATGGGTTGGCAGCATGTCATGAACACAAAGAGACTGGGCAAGCTGGTCAAAAAGGCTTGGTCTGTGCTTGGCAGGAGTCTGGACTCACTCAGGACTGTTGTGGAGAGATGCATGCAATGTAAGATGGAGGCCATCTTGGACAATACCAACCACCCTCTCCACAACATTCTGGCAGGACAGAGAAGCAGCTACAGCTGCAGCAAATGTCTCATCTCACTGCGCTGCAGAACAGAGAGGTTCAGGAGATCCTTTTTTTCCTACTGCCATCAGGCTATACAACACCTCAGCCAAAGGAAGTGGACTAATCTAATTATTATCTATAATTATTATCTATCTATCTATCTATCTATCTATCTATCTATCTATCTATCTATCTATCTATCCATCTATCTATCCTTGTCACGGTCAGACACTCCCCCACCCATCCAGAAAACCCACAAATCTCTACTTCCTGTTTCCACTGTGATTTTATTCTGAAAGTCCTGACTGGAAGATGTGATTCGTATCTTACTGCCGCATTGATGCTTCTTTCGGATGTTTGGTGCTGTTCCTCACCCACACACAGTTAATAACGGGCTAGCTGGTCAATAGCAAACAATGGTCTGGTTAGCAGAGACTGAACATTTGAAATAAATATGTAATTAAAAAAATTTAACTAAATGTCTAAATATAGAAACTTTTAAAAAGGTGATCTGTATGATTCAACTGAAGAGATCATAAGATCTAAGTTCAAGTAAGTTCTTCAGATCACCCATCTCTACTTTGAGCTCTTTTTTTGTTCAGGGTCAAATTTAACTTGGTTGTGATCTCCCCCTTTTTGCAAATGTAAAATTGTTTCCATGGAATCCACTGATGAATAAACAGTAAAGAATTTTTTTATGTATACAAATGCTGCAGGGACTAGAATCATCAGACTGGTGTGATTTTGTGCAGCAAAGGATTAAATCGCACTTTTGAGGAGATTTCAAAAAAATAGAAAAAATTAAAAAATAAAATTATATATATATATATATATATAGGCCATATCACCCAGTCCTAAGCTGGACAACTGACTCTTCATTTGTCTTTACTATTCAAACACAACGCCAACTATCACAGATATTTCAAATTAAAAGTGTTCCACCCTTTTGTTTCCTGGTGGTGTGTTATTGTGAAAAACCTGCAGGAAGTGTCACTGACAGACTAACAGAGAGGAAATAAATAGTGAATGAAACTAATAAAAAGAAAAGAAACAGAAAGCAGCAGAGTGAGAATAGACTGACTGTGGTGTAATAGTGAATTTACCACATTAGCTGTTGCAGCAAAGGTGATCCCACCCCCCTTAAAATCCCCAGATTATTAATGACGATTATCTGAAACTGTGCCATTATATTAATGTTGGCTTTTATATGAAAATTTACTGTAGTTTACATCACTTCTGACATTCGATCAGGTGTAAGGTCAGATCAGTCCAAATATTCTAAATCACCTTATAGTTTTCACCTTACCACATGAGCCAACTGGTTTTAATTTAAAGAGATGAAAATCCAGTGTTAACATCCATATGATTTTTTATATAATACAATACATATGATGAGTGAAATAGTCATCAACACCATGACTGAGTTTTTTAACTTGAATTGCAGTGAAACAACTAGTCTTATAAAAACAGATTCAGATAGCCAGGGTTTGTCACAAACCTAGGAACAAATCCTGTCAAGTTGTGGGGACAAGGGGCGCGGCTAAATAAACTTGAAGCTTTGTCAGTACACAGAGAGAGAGTTAGCATTAACACAATCACTAACACTATCTCAGCTACAAGCTAACGAACAACATAGACAAATAAAAGATGCTAACTGTGCTAACTGTTCTGATCCATCTGCTAGTCTCTGATTCTGGTCTCAATAGACTCGTCATCTGAGTCTGGGTCTGACTGAGGTTCAAACATGTGTCTGAGTCTCTCTGATCTTTCCTCCTCTAACCATCTTGATACTCTCTGCTCTTTCACCTGTCCACCTGGAGCAAGCAGGTGGTGGGCGGGGCTCAAGGCCTGATCCAGATTTCTCAATCAGGAAGTAAGAGGAGATGAGCTTCAGATCCAGTTTAATGTGTGAAAACCACGTTAAACTAAATATGAATCATAGCAGAGGACTTTTACAAACTTTAAAGCATGACTGGAGAGAAATAATGATACTAAATCCACTTAGTAAACACATATATAATAAATGTCACATTATTAGTTTAAGAACATCTCTCAGCTGCACAATAATGATGCAATTACCATCTAACTTCTGCATTAGAATCCATTGAATCGTTTACACATAGCAATACTTTGATCAGGCTGTTACACTTTGGGGGTCAGAGATCTGCATCATCAGTACAGACATAGATGAACTGGGAAGAATCACGTCAGTTTTCAGCTGGGTTCATCAACAGATCACAGTGGATTTTTTTAGGAGGAGGGAGACCACAGGAGCTGACAGTTCAATAATCAGGTGAGTCTGTACCTTCAGGCAAAGCGGTGAGCTGGTTCCTCCTTAGGTTCAAGTCCCTCAGGCACTCCAGCTGACCGAGCTCTGCAGGCAAACACTGCAGCTCATTACAGCTCATATCCTGACAGAAACACAGAGAGAGAGAGAGCACTGTGAACCAGGACCAGGATCTACAACACAACACCACTCACCTGTGTCACTACATCAGAGTGGATCTACATACTTTTAGCTTTAAACTCAGACATGATGCAGTTCTGACTGTGACCCATAAGGACACAAAGATGTGACTGAAAGAATGACACTGCTGGACCTGTTGCTGAGAGAGCACAGACAGATACTGTTTGTGAGAGACAGCAACGTGTGTGTGTGTGTGTGTGTGTGTGTGTGTGTGTCGTACCAGCTGTCGGAGGTGTGTGAGGGAGTATACGGAGGCGGGCAGTGAAGACAGCTTGTTGTTGCTGACGATGAGCACTCGCAGGAGGGGAAGCTGAAACACCGACGGGGGTAAACTGGACAGAAGATTACGACTGTGGGGACGGACGGACGGACGGACGGACCGTGTGTCACACACACACACACACACACAAAGAGTGAGGTCATTCCAGAGGGATATTGTGCACCATTGCATTGAATTTCAAAGGTGCTTCCACTCACACACTCAAACACCACAGTTTAATATAGCAGCTAACTAGTTAGTCACCATGAAATGTGCAGCTAGTCTTAGTAATTGTTTGTTGTACAGTATCTTTGCCTCGAGCCAATACGAGCCACCTGGAGGGTTTTTCTGGTCTCCTAGCAACAGTATAATTATAGTGTGAAGCAGAGGAGTGTCAGTGTGGTTCTGTTGTTGTAAGATGGTTTGTACAGGATTTGGATGACCTGGTTTAACTTTCAGCATAAACAAACACTGGAGTTGTGCAGCACCTGCAAACTGCGACACTGATGCAAAGTGTTCACTTCTACCTTTGTGGTGCGTTCAAGTACAACTTCTATTGTAATTTGGGATTTTCTTTATAGACCATCATCCTGGTTCAAATTTCTCCAACCTGAAAGACCAAAGACCTGGTTAATTCCTACGCTCTGATACGACCCACAGGCGCATCTCCTGAAATGCCAGAACCTACCGGACTTCATGGTTACAACAACACCTGGTTACGCTTATGGGACAGTCACGGTTTGGTTTGGTTTGGTTTATAGACACAAAGACAGGTTAAGAATAGGGAAAGGTCACAGTTTAGGTTAAAATAACCGCTTCCTTGAGGCTGGAGGACCTTTTTTGCCATGGTTACAACAATAAAGATGCTGAGAAGGTTGTGGAACGGTCCTGGATAAAAGAAACAATGATGACTGTGGGTCTCAAACAGGAAACTGACAGTCGTCTCCTGTGTTAAAACCCCATCCATCCACCTTCACCTCCTCCTCACATGCTCTCTGTTCTACATAACCTGACTTCCTCATTTGCTCCCGTCATAATCACTACCGTTAGATGTTGCCTAAATATAAATGTACCTACCACAGTTTTCCTGTGCAACGTTAGATTATTATAGATATTTTAGGAGCACTCATTTTCAGCTTCACCAAATAAAGTAAAATACATTAGTTGTTGACTGGTACAGACCACGAGACTAAAGGTAGAGGGCCACAAAGAAGCAATATGATTCAGCTAAACATGCTGAACAATGAATTAATCACCTTCTCCTTGGTACAGTCTGTGATACTTTTTCCTCATCAATCCCTGCCGTCATCAGCATCTTTTACTATCGAAGTGGTGCATAGACATCTAGTCATAGTTTCTTCATTCTATTTATCTATTTATTTAGACCCCCATTAGCCACTGTGTTGTAACAATGGCTACTCTTCCTAGAGTCCCATTAAATTCTTCAATGACAACAGACAATCAATACACATCAACATCATTCATACTCACATTGAGACTCACAATACACACTAACTCAAAATCTATCTAACACATACAATACTCTATTCAATAATTGAATTTCTTCATAACTGAGAAAAGAAAACTTCAAACTACTCTCCTATATCATTTCCATTTCAGAAAACTTAAAGTTAAAAGTCTTATGAACAATTAAGTCATAGTGTTCTATACTATTGCCTGTGGAAACAAATACAATATTAACTTTTTAATAAAACATATTGTACTAATTTCTAATGTCAAGAAATGTGGTAATGAATCCAGGCCACCAATGCTCCATATTCAGCTGTTCTCTGTATTAAACTAGTTCTACATGGTGGCAACAGAATATGATGATACCTACCCAGTAAAATGATGATGTCTATCTATGACGAGTGATAAGTTACTATAAACTCTAGCTTGTTAGTGACACCACAAAGTACACAAGATACTTATAAACTTCACCACCATAAACAACAGATCTGTCAATATGAAAACAATATTCTGCTGTGCAAATAAAGGATGGGGCAACTGATTTGATTCATCTCTCGAAGCAATGTTTACATGTTCCAAGATCTCTTACTAACTTTGGTGAGTACAATGTTGTCATAACTGATGTAATGTTCAAAACACATGTAAGAGGTTTAAGGGATTGATGTATCGTGTAAAACTAGTTTGAATAAAATATAAGATGTTTAACATTTTGCTATTCCCAAGAAGAACAAAAAAAAAAAAAAGGATAAAAAAGCAACTTCCACATTTGAAAATTTGTTTAATGTGATTCATGATACTTTTGTAATGGAGAAATGAATGCCTCCTTAAATTCTGATTGAATATATGTATCTCCACTTGATCAGACTTTCTTTCTAGCAGAAGTTGAAGTAAATAGAAGTACTGGAAGCATATTGAGGTTCACTTGTATGTAGATGTGAGAGGTTCCCTTGGTTACCAGTGGTAAAAGTCAACCATCAGACATTTTCTATATTGTATTAACTCGACTCCAAATGAAAGTTGATTGCCTTCCAATGTGCACTGCTGTACAATCAGTAGACCAGCTCTATTTTCCTGTGCTGTTTGGCTCATGAAGCAGTGTGTATGAAGCAGACTTACCTGAGGTTGAGGTAGGTGAGGGCCTGGAGGTTTCCCAGGCTGGAGGACAGCGAACGCATCCCATTGTGGTAAAGGCTCAGTGTCTCCAGAGAGATGAACTGACAGAGCTCCTCCGGCAGCTCGCACAGACGGTTCTTGGACAGATCTGAAAACACAAGAGTGCTGAACATTAGAGCCATCAGAGGTTCTCCAGTATTCAGACATCCAGTGGCACAAAGTGAAATAGAATCACCTCCTCATGGTTGTCTGCCTTCTCCACTCAGACTAGTTTCAAGTCACATCCCTGTTTATCCAGAGTCACAGAAAATATTACACATTTGTGTGAAATTTTGTCATAATTGCTGCAAAGCCTTGAGTTATGGTTAAAAAGTATTTTGTGAGGTCATACTGATCTTGACCTTTAACCATGAGTTCTTGAGTCCTGGAGTTGATATTTGTGGCATTTTTGAAGGGATTCCCTTGAGGAGTTTTCAAGATGTTGTGTTCACAAATCCAAAACTATGTTTTGTGAGGTCATACTGACCTTAACCTTTGACACCCAAAATCTAATCAGTTCATCCTTGAGTCCAAGTGAATATTTGTGCCAAATATGAAGAAGTTCTATCAAGGCGTTACTGAGATATCATGTCCACAAGAATTAAAAGGAAGTACAGATGTACGGATTATGGCGCCGGCGCATGGACATAAAGTAAATTGTGCTACACAAATGCCATTGAAATGTTAAAACCTTCTTGATCCATTTAAAAGAAATGGCTCCCCTTGTGCAACCATCCAGCCCAAGCTGAGATAATAACACAGATGACATCAATCAAATTCATACTTTTTTTGATGTTCTCTGTGTCCTCGGCCATACAACAGCATCAAAACTACTCTCCAAAAACCACTGGTCTAAAACTGACAACCCGCTCTGAATCCACACTGCTGTGACAGAGTCTTGGCAATGTCCACTCTCATCCACTTTGACCAAACTGGGTGAGCATGTCCAAAAATAGCTGCTATTGGCGGCTTCCTGCTCTCTGTTTCCAGAGTTAGCTCCACAGTAAGTAGGCCATTCTCATCCACCTCCAAGGAGACAAGGATACAAGGACACCAGTCACTTACATTTAGAGATAAAATGACCCTGCCCAGTCAAGCATGGTCCGGATGTACAGCCACTGTTGTTGTTACAAGCTTCAGTCCCTCCTTAGCAGAATTATTTTTTAATATATTTTATAATAATGAATCAGACAAAAATACATTTACACCTGTGGATGATTCATCAGACCCTGATTTTCCTTCTCACTACAATTTAGAGATGTTTTTCTCAGAAAATAATTTCTATCAATGATAACAAAACAGCTCCAGTTTTAGTAGAAATACTAAGTCATGACTGGGAGAAGAAAGTGCCTCCTAACACCTGAAACAATTAGTCAATTGAAAGGAAGTTAATTAGCAACTATTTGTGATAGCTGATTAAGGTTCTTTTAGTACAAATAAAAATGTCAAACAATGGGAGCTTCTGCTTATATTACTATAAACTGAATATCTTTGGGTTTTGGACGGTTGGTCACATTAGATATCGTTCATTTAATTTACTGTTGTTTGATACAGTCAAATAAACTGAAAACAACAGATTAATAGGAAATTGGACTTCAACTAACATCTATTTTCAATATATCTTAGTCTGCAGATTATTACCTCTGTTAAAGAGGTTTTGTTTTCACCTATACTGTATGTGTTTTCTTGTTTGTTTGTCAGCAGGATTACACAAAAAGTACAGAACCAATTTCCGTCAAACTTCGCATTTTACTGATAAAACATCAGAAGTCAGTGTTCAAAACTTCCCAAAGCCCAAGGTATCTTATTTTATTTGACCATCAGCCCAAAATCTAAAACTGTTCAATTTACTACCAAAGAAAAGTGACAGAGATAATGGAACCAACAAATATTTGGCATTTTTGGACATTTTGGACATCTTGGACCTTTTTGGACACATCTTGGAATGTGACTAAATCATTCATTAATCATTCTAGCTCTGAATGAAAATATTCGTTAGCTGCAGCCCTGCATAATTCTCTATATTTTGAATCTTATCCGTATCTGTATCTTACCTCCCCCTTCCTAATTAGGGATTATTACTGGCCACGCTCAGTATTGACCTCATCATCATCAGCTCTTCTCTACACAGATATCTTTATATCTAAACTCTACAACCAGCTGAGTTCAGGGTAAAGATGTGTGAACATGCAGCAGACACAATGAAGCATCAATAGACTGCCCATAGAGCTGCATCATTAGCACTGAGCTTGGTCTGGCAGCAGGATGAGACAGTCTGTCAATGGCAGACAGCCCAATGGCTGTTTATTGATTGCTGTTGGAAGCAGCAGCAGGAGGAGGAGGAGGAGGCAGTTCCTCTCTTTGTTAGTGCTTCTATAGGGACGCTTTTTTGGAAGACTTCAAGTGAAATATTGAGAAGAACAGAAATGTGAGAAGAATCTAGAACATGGTTCATTGATTGTCCACGAGTTACACCACATTCAGAAAGATTAATTTTCCCTCATAAACTTTTTATTTATCAAAATTAAAGCTGAAAGAACTAATGAAATAAATCAAATTTTTTGATAATAATCACTGAAGTCATTTAATCAGTGATTTCACATAACTGGTTCCAGCTTCTCACCAGTGGGAATTTGCAGCTTTTCTTTGTCTTTTTATATCAAAATAATATTTTTAGGTTTTAGACTTTGTTGGATGGAAAAGGAATCTGGAGACATTTTAATACTGATTACTAAATCAGATTCCAATTCCAAGATTACTAAAGAGAAATCAGGTTGAACTGTTTTATAAAGAAGGAAACACACTTACACTTACACTACATTCATCTGAGTGAACAGAGAAACCAGAGTGCTTCATTAACACTGCAGTATCATTCAATGTGTGTTGAGAGAGAGAGAGAGAGAGAGAGAGAGAGAGAGAGAGAGAGAGAGAGAGAGAGAGAGAGAGAGAGAGAGAGAGAGTGAGAGAGAGAGAGAGAGTGAGAGAGTCTGTGTGTGTGTGTGTGTGTGTGTGTTTTCTGTATATAATGAATGTAAGTGTGTCTCCACACTGTACAGGAGCACTAAAGCCTGATCTCTCCATCTTCACTGTCCCATAGCTGGAGGGGAGTCGTCTGAACAATGGGTGGGGGTGGAAATAGTACTGTGTGTGTGTGTGTGTGTGTGTGTGTGTGTGTGTGTGTGTTTACACTCTGGGGGATGCAGAGGTTGTTTAGTCTCTGTATCTGTTGTTGTCGGAACTCCAGTTTAAAAAGGAAGTTATGGTTTCCACTGGAAAAATAAAAGTTTGTTCTGTGCAACATTTGTGATTCTAGTGATCACCTTGTATGACAACATTCATTCCCTTACTTTAACTTGTATCCAAAGATTATTTCCTGTTCTTATCTCAACCAAAATCTTTACAGGAGAGTCTCACTGCTCAGCGGCCATTTTTGGCAACAATTTGATAAAAAAACACTTAAAAAGTTTGGTGACTTGACCCAAATTATGGTTAAAATGCTTTTTTTCCCCCACATCTTCACATAAAAAACTATGCATGCACAAGGTTTTGCTTGCGTCAGTGCAATGACATGATTGACTTGATGGGTTTCCCATTCAGCTGTTATAAAGCAGCTTATTGGGTGTCGTACAACTGTCATCTTTGGTGTTACGGACTTTTCTATTCAGGACCTGTTTTATCAACTATCTGTCACACTCATGATCATTAGACCTGGGCAAAATCCAAAATTTAATATTGAAACAGTCCAGCCCAAATATCCTGAGATATGCTATTTTTATTTTATATGTTTATCAGCAGGCGGCACGGTGGTGCAGTGGTTAGCGCTGTCGCCTCACAGCAAGAAGGTTCCGAGTCCCGGCTCGGACGCAGGGTCTTTCTGTGTGGAGTTTGCATGTTCTCCCCGTGCTTGTGTGGGTTCTCTCCGGGTACTCCGGCTTCCTCTCACAGTCCAAAGACATGCAAATGGGGACTAGGCTGATTGGTTACTCCAAATTGACCATAGGTATGACTGTGAGACTGAATGGTTGTTTGTCTCTGTGTGCCCTGCGATGGACTGGCGACCTGTCCAGGGTGTACCCCGCCTCTCGCCCGAAAGGATGCTGGGATAGGCTCCAGCCCCCCCGCGACCCTACTAGAGGATAAGCGGTAGAAAATGGTTGGATGTTTATCAGCCCCCCCGGAAAGTCGCAATGTCACGATTGCAATACTTAATGCAAATTCAACCAATCCCAATTTTTGTCCAACCACCGCAACTTTTCTGCAAATATGACCAATCATCATAGTTTCCAGTAAGTTAAACCAATGATGCCACTCCTGCTCAACATCTTGATATATGTCACAAAAATCACTTCCATGTTTCTGTTTTTGAAGCATGTTGTGAAGCTGCAGACATGTGTGACATGAATATCTCACGTTTACCAAAAAACATTACTGTATAAAGACAGTGTAAAGCAGTTCAACTATGTTTTGCACAAAAGCGTATTTAAATTGTTTTGTACCACTTTGTGGTGGAACCATAGGTGTAGAGCTGCCGGAGCCACCAGAACGACGCCCTGCTACTTTTTTTCTCCAGATGAAATAAAATATCTACAGTTCACATAATCCGGTTGATATTTATATACATTTTAAGCACTTGAAGATCCAATCATCACTAAAGAGTCTATCATGTAGAGAGCTAATAAAAACAAATAAAATGGTCAAAGTTGTCATATTGACATTTAAGGTGTACTAATTGATTTTCAAACGTCAATCACGCATTAAGTAACACTCAAGAAACCATTCCACCTTAAAAGATGCCGGTAGCTGCCGATAGCCTCTGAGCTACTCAGTGAATTAAATGGTTAATTAGTAACGATGAAAAGACAGAAAACGTCCTTTCAGTCATCATTCACTCATGATGAAACGGTTTCATAGGCAGGGGTGGGAGCATATTGTTTTTACTGTTAAGTTCTGTGCAATTAAGCTTTTGAAAGGGCTCAATGTTTACTCAAAAGAGGATAGCAACAATTTTTGCAATTTTTATTTGCCCTGCATCCTGGAGAGACTGTATTATCTAATTTTCAGTTAAATTCCAAGTTTTATTTGTCACAATGTACAGTAAGCACAGCAGAG